GCTGGAACTCCTAGTACTCACTTGAATAAAAAATTTTAGAAAACCCGAGGCAGGCTTGGTGTCATACTTTGATTTGGCTATTCGAAAGCTTTATCACATGTGGCTTGATGTCATCCTTATATTTTGATTGCGGTTACCAACTGAAATCCGGATCGTTTCTACTCAAAATACTGAGTAACCGGTGTTCTCTAATAGTTGGAGTGACAAACCCGGTACCGCACGACCCATACGGATATGGGAAACCATCTGAAATGGTCGGTTCACAGAACAAACAATTTTCCCGCAAACACTAACGTTACGCTGATTTCACGGATATGTGAGCGACAAGTGATAAAAGCCCGAAAACATGGCAGCATTATATCACCACTCATCTTTGTTCATATTAAAAATACGAACCATTAAATTCTCTGGCATTTTATGCAATCCAGTCATGTGGTAAAACATTTCCGTTTCCGGTTTCAATCCATGTCCGTGGTGTGGTTGTACGAGAAAAAAAAACAGAAAAATTATCCAAGTAAATCGAAAGTAAACAATCAATTACCGAAACTAGCCCATGTTTGCGGCCGTTGAAACCCACGCTGTCAACCACGCCGGAACGATTCTTAATTCGTACGTGTTACAATTCGGCACTGACAACAGAATCATACAGATACCGATAAACTTTCGGTACTGTGTTAACATACATTTGAACCCGGAGTTCACATGAAAGTTTTGACAAAATGGCAATAAGATGAGGTCGCGATGATTTCTCGAGCGCTATATTCGACTCTCACAAATTGTTAACCACGTTTTCGGGCATATTAAAATAACTACACTCATACCATTATTCCGAATGTCCAAATTAGCTATCACTCTTATCTACACTGGTTATGCTTAAGTTCTATGGCCAACCCAAGTTCCAAACCGACAGATGGGATAGAATATCGTTTTTGACATCGACGGCTGAATTGAACAATTTTTCGCCATAACAGAACTAGGTTTTAAAACTGCTTCCCTAACCTTTTAGGTGATCACAAATACTGTGGAACAGTATGTAATCGCGACTTGGCTCTAAAACCTATATCACACTGTATCGAACTGAATGAAACACGGACTAGGAAATTGACCCCCCCCCCCNCTCACTCCCTCAATGGTATTGGGCGTGTTCGTTCCCTCAACGATTGATATCATGTCTGGCTTTTGAGGGCGTTATTTGGTCCTCTACGGAATGGTTCCCATAGGTTCACTTTAATGACAAATAAATCCGGTTTCTTTATGTGCTTCAGTAGTTTTTTTGTTTATCACAACTAGGCTCACGACAAAAAGTCCGTCTGTTGCTTTTGGTTAGCTGCATTGTGCGGAAGCATCATGAGGAAACTGGATTCAATGAACTGGAAAGAACACAGCGAATTCTTCAGGCTAAACTAACATAATTTTACTTTTCGTTTGACTCCATCCGCAGACCAGCAATTCCTCGACGGCGGCAGCTCAGTTCCTCCTCGGACAGTTCCATCACTCGAATGGCGGCAAGGAATCGGTTAACTACAGCACCGACGGAGGTACTAAACGTGGGCATCCAACAAGCCCCGCAGTCCCCACGATTCGATCGAGGGATCCCCAGTGCAACAGGTGCTCCGGAACAAGCTGTCTGGTCGGAATTGTTCAACTGTTACGATACTCCCGATCAATATCGGCGACCACGAACATGGCATCATGTCCCAAACCTTGCAGACCAGACCCATAACCCGCAGGAAACACAAGGGACAACGGATACACAGCCTCCAGGACCGCAGCCTCTAGTTCCAAATGGAATGAATCATCTCTCCGCCCCCGATATAACCCGAAGAATGGCTAGACGTTTAACTCCGTCTCCCCTCGGTTGTCAACGTCCACCACCAGAGAAATTTAACTCCTTGCAACATGGCTCGGAAACATGGTCAAACTATGCCTCAGCTTATCTACAAGTCATGAATAATGCAAATAATATGGAACGTCCCGTCACTTTTGTCCCAGAGACTATGTCCACTCAGAAACCGAGTCCAAACGCACAAGGTAATCCCACCAGTATGAACAGTCTACTTTGTTATCCACGCAATTGATAAGATCGGTACATGGGCAGGGAAAGCCAGTTTCAGATTGCAGAACATTAGGCAGTCAGCGTACAATTACAAAAAGATGACATTCTGTCGTCAACCAAGGAACCTTGTGCATTTCCAGTCAGTCTCTTTGACCAGAGCTGTTCGAATTCGAAAGTGTGTACACAAATTGTGTAATCGATTCATAAATCTGACGTTCCGAACGTTTTCTAACTGACTGATCGCAGATTTGAGAATTTTACTGCACACAAACGGGCTTTTCTGGTTGCTTGATGTACAATCACAAAGAACGTTACAATTACCGTTATATGCCTGCTTTCAATAGCGATATTTTATCCCAGTCATGAGTATTGTGCAAAAATGCAGTAAAACCGTGGTGTTTCATAGCTACACAAAGGCTAAAACTTACTTTATTTGAACCCGAGCAATAAGTAAAATCTTCAGCACCTCGTGTTCTATCGTATATATATATATATATATATATATATATATGCTCAGAATGAAATAACAGTCCCTGATTTGTGCATTGAAGATAACATGTGCTGGGGATCCAAGCACACGCTGTTCACTTTTATGCTTGATACACCCGAATCTATTTGTTCCGAATCTTTTAAGCAAATGCCGCTAAGCACCTGCCACTATAATCATGTGTTAATGTGTTTGTTGAGGTGAAATGGCACCCACACTATAGCGATTCCAGCAGTGAGACGCGGATGTACTGATCATTGCAAAGTCAAAAATATGACTAAGATGTAGGAAAATTAGAGCACAAGTCTGAAGGGGACCAATGGTTTGCCAATGATTCATAATCATGTCTGTACAGATCACAAATACGTCATCTTGTATGTTCGAACTTGTTCTTATGTTACAATGGGTTTATTTTGGAATGTGGGAAAACAAAGAACAACCTATTTCTCTTCGCATTTAAGAGAAATATTAATTATATTTATTACACCTGCTAATTTATCAATTTTCTACTAATTGTTTTATAAACCGTCAATTACTTCGCTGTCAGTTCGACCTAAATGTGGCATAAAATTCCCATCCAATATTTTAATAGGTTAAAATAGAAAGTACTTCCACAACATAGAACTTGTTAGTATCTCACACCGGTTTTTTTCTTATACCGCTTCACACTCAGCCGAAACATGAATGATCGATAAATCGATAGTTTAGCTTTTAGTCGGTCAACAAATACCGAACATTCAAGGTAGTGTTTGTGACTGACCAGTGCAGCATACCTTAAACATAACGAAAAGACTTGATATGAATGTAATCGATGACAGAAAGAATGATCACCATCCGGTCGACGTTATACCGATTTTGTATGACCAGTTACATGAGGCCTCTTTGATAACTGCATTCTTGGTCTGGAATTCACAATGAGCTTGCAGACCGAGATCGGTTCAAAGTCGAGAGGCATTTCATAATTCACTTCCCGTCAACAACTATTTAGTCACACTGACTTTTTTGATGAACAGTCTTGCAAGCATTCACTATACGCTTCTTTTTTGTGTGCTCTTCCAGGAAGCATTCACAGTGCAGATGCAACCAGCCTGGGAGACTTAAAATCCGAGCATGATGACAGTTTGAAAATTCTATATCTTTTCCTCAGATCGCCCGTACTTATTAGTTTCGATCAAATGACACTAATAACTTGATCACTTAGATGACGAGCCACTTTTTTCTAAGTAAACACTCACTGGAATCGGTCCGAGTGACGACAGAAGTGGAATCGGAGCAATCTGAAAAAGTAGAAAACTGGTTTGTACTTCATATCAAGTATGCGTGTCCGGTACTTGTTTATCAAGTTTCTTCGATATACTACTTACAATAAAGCTATCAAAGAATCGGTATCGCAATCCAATTTGTCCAGGTTAGGATCATATAACCCATTGAATGGGCGAACTGCTCGTTTAGAGTAACCTCGTTTTCGGCCTGAATAGTCTGGTTCGACAAGGTCACTGAAACATGTTATTGGAAGGGCCAAGAAATGGAGCAAGCACTAATTTCAACCTATCCCATTTGGTGATAGCATCAGACCGACTGACAGAATAATGAGGGATGCAAACAACCGTAAAGCTAAAACAGATTAACTCCTGGGAATACATATTAGCTCAGGTCCGGTACACGGATAGACAATACTCAATGGAATGGATTTGCCATTCTTGTTCTCATCCCCTTTTGAGTTCGTAACAAACTTCAGAGGCCATTTTAAACTCATTGGTAGAACAGGGCCCCGGGTGGATGCATAAGGCGTCCATTTTACAACTTACTCGAAAACCGGTGCATGAACTCAACAAATAAGCTCGTAATGACGGGAAACTTGGAAAATAAATCGGTAAGGGCAACTGATAACAATTACTCATAAGGCGATTGTGAAAAGTTCAGTAGCCTCGGTGGGATTCGAACCCACGCATCGAGGCCCCCACGCATTGTACGCGCACGCTCTACCAGCTGAGCTACGAGGTCACTCCGATATCACTGATCTTTTGGCATTCGAATTACCGGGGAATTCTACTAAAAACCTGTCGGGGCAGTCAGCTTACAGGCTAATTGGTGGATGGCATATGCCTCTGTACGTTGGATAGGTAATTCGAATATGAATAGATCAATGCTATCGGTGTGGCATCGTAGCTCATCTGATAGAGCGTGCGCGTACAAAGCGTAGGCGGTGTCCATGCGTGGGTTCGAATCCCACCGAGGTTAGTGAACTTTTCACAATCGCCATACAAAAATCAAATCTGTCAAACATTCATTTGTACAATTATTTGAGTCGTAAACAAAGCATGAATTTGTTATGGAAAAGAACCTCCTGGAGGAATGATCGGTTAAAAGAGAAACGAAAAAGCTCGAACCCTAAGGAAAAATTGTGGACCGCCAGCAATCGTCGCATGATGCTCACGCATCAATGAAACAATGGTCTTTTCCTCCCGATTGAACTACTGTAGTTGATTGACCTTGTGATTCACAAAACCACAACGGAAAATTACACACCTATGATGGAATAATAGAATTGTGATAATCCTATGCAGCAGTGAGTATGATCATTTAGTTTAGCTACGTTCAAAGTCAGCTAAACAAAGTCTGTTGCGTACGATGTCAATAGATATTGAAACTGACTGAAGAGCCACTTATATCAACCAGAAAGATGAGAAATATGACTCGTCCGGGGGCGAATCATAATATAACACGATAATGTTCATGACTTATAAGCGGTCTTCGGACACATGCTAATTGGTCGTGTTCCACTCTTCCTGTCAATACCGTTTTCTACCAACAGCTGTGCCACCATTCGGTCACTGAAAGGATAGGTGCGATTACCTTTGAAAAGTGGGGGGTGGGCGACTGAAAGAGATAGAATGGGGTCGGGCCACAAATGAGTGAAATTTGCTAACCACACGAGACTTGAATCATGACCCTATGTGGCTTCAGTGTGGTTCACAGGCATTGTATGACTGTGTGACTCGAGCCATTTATCTGAAGGAATGTGCTATCATGAAAACATTCCTCGTCTAGTGTCAAATGCGCCTAAAAAGAAACACCCGTCATGAAACCCGCTTGAACGACACAGTCTGAAGAAAAGCGCTTGGCGATTGTACTTGTAAAACACTCGGATCTAGGGACCGATTCTGACTGACCTAACATTTATTTGAGCTAAAATTCGACTAGACACATCAGTGTGATCGTTCAACCAAATACGTGTTGTCCGCTAACTCGGTCACCGCTCGGCACGCACGTGGGTTGACCGATACACGCGAACCGCATGAATTCGATAGCGATGTTGGTGTTCATTCGGTAGCAAAGCAAAACAATGTTAACTTCTGTGATAAATCTCGGTGTTAAAATGAATAATTGAGTAGGGATGCCAGAATGAACTGTGTTCGTTTACCTCCGACTGATCCATCCATCCATCCATCCATCCATCCCATTCACCCACCCACACCCATGAACATCACTGGAATTTGTAAACAAGTATGAAATAATGGACCGCTTCAGTGTTCCCACTTTCTGGCTTTATCTCATCTTCTAGCATATGTGCACAGCCACCCTACCTCCCCACCTCCATTTGCTTAAAAT